TCTGTAACCGTCAATTAAACCCACCTTACCGTGCCTGATTTTTTCTGGCAGAGTTTCGCCTCCTTCATAAAATCAGGAGACAAACATGGTTCGCCATCAGAAAGATCGCTTAATGAAGCAGCATCTGGAGCAATGGAAAGCCAGTGGTTCCACACAAACGACTTATTGCCATCAGCACCATATACCCATCCATATCTTCAGTTACTACAAAAGGAAACTGGATCATGGCATTACTCCGTCAGCAGAAGGAATAACCAACTTATTCCAGTTAACCTGCTGGCAGAGTCTGACCGACTAGAATCGATTCATATCCGTCATGATAACGGCTTCGCTGTGGCAATTGATCCCGCCACTGACCTGGCTGATTTAAAGCCGGTACTGGAATTACTCAAGTCGCTGTCATGATCAACGGTATTTCTATCGACCAGGTATATCTCGTGTCCGGTATAACCGACATGAGGAAAGCCATTAACGGCTTATCGATTATCATTGCTGAGCAGCTAGGCAGTAATCCTTTTGATGGTAGTGTCTATGTGTTTTGTAACCGACAAAGAAATAAGCTCAAAATCCTGTACTGGGAACGCAATGGTTTCTGGCTGTACTATCGTTGTCTTGATCAAGGGAAGTTTCAATGGCCTGGGGCAAAAGACCCACAAACAGTCCATTTAACGCGACGTGAATTACAGTGGCTGCTGGATGGTTTATCACTGACTCAACAGCAGGCTCATGTCGCTGTAAACGGTTTGACTATTAATTGAAAACAAGTTGCTTAAACACATTTTATATCAATAATTACAACGACTTACAGGTTGTTTATTGGTATAATAAACACCATGAACGAAGCCACTCAAACCTTGCCTGATAATATTGCGGAACTGCAAAAGCTGGTGCTGGATCTACAGGTTAAAGTGAACTGGTATGAGGAGCAGTTTCGTTTATCACAGCATAAACGCTTTGGTGTTTCCAGTGAAAAAGGAGCTGTTCATCCTGACTTGTTTAATGAAGCAGAAACATTTGCCGATGATCACGCTGAGTCTGATGCAGCGGTTCAGGAAACGATCACCTATACCCGTAAAAAGCCGGGTCGCAAAGCACTGCCTGCGGATCTGCCTCGCAAAATTGATCGTCATGAATTGCCCGAATCAGAGCAGATATGTGATTGTGGACATGCGCTGCATGTCGTCGGCGAAGCCAGCTCAGAGCAACTAGAAATTATTCCTGCTCAGGTTTATGTCATTGAGCATGTTCAAGTCAAATATGCCTGCCGTGGCTGTGAAGAAGGGTTTAAAACAGCACCAAAGCCTGCTCAACCGATCCCCAAAAGCTTTGCAACACCTGGGTTACTGGCCTATATCATCATTTCCAAATTTCTCGATAGCTTGCCACTGTATCGACAGGAAGCCATCTTCAAACGTTACAACATCGAACTCTCCAGAGCGACCATGTCCAACTGGGTGCTTACTATAGCCGAATTGTTGAAACCTTATTATGACCGGCTAAAACATCATCTGATCACTCAAACCTTTATACAAGCCGATGAAACGACCTTGACGGTGGTGCAAGATGGTCGAGAAAACGGCACGAAGTCTTATATGTGGCTGTATCAAAGTGGTGAACATCGACCACTGTATCCAGTCGTGCTGTATGACTATCAATCGACGCGGGCGGGATATCATGCCAAAACCTTTTTAAGTGGATTTAAAGGTTATCTGCAAACGGATGGGTTTCCGGGTTACCACCTGATGGAAAGCGACGCTCTGGTGGTCTTGCTGGGTTGCATGGCGCATGCCCGCCGCAAATTTGATGACGCGTTAAAAGCGTTGCCGAAGGAAAGTCGCAAAAAATCCGGCAAGGTGCAACTGGCACTGAGCCTGATTGCAAAGCTGTATGCGGTTGAATCGGAGATTAAGGATTTAACTGTGGAACAGCGATACCTGGTTCGACAACAAAAGAGCAAGCCGGTGCTGAATCAATTAAAAGCCTGGTGTGATCAATCGGTTACCCAGGTAACCAAAGACAGTCGGTTGGGCATGGCGATACATTATGTGATTAATCAATGGAAATATCTGACTCGGTATCTGCAAGATGGTGCATTACAAATTGATAACAACACGGTAGAGCAGCGCATAAAGCCATTTGTGATCGGGCGAAAAAACTGGTTGGTGAATCAAACCCCCAGAGGTGCCAATGCTAGTGCACTATTGTATTCACTAGTTCAAACCGCAAAGGCCAACAACCTGGAGCCTTTTGCTTATCTGAAATATCTTTTAACTGAACTACCCAAGTTAGGTCGGCACTATCAGGCTGAGCAACTCGATCAGTTTTTACCCTGGAACCTCGTTGAAAAAATCCAGCCCCTGGATAAAGTGGCTTAGTTTGTCAATGTGTGATTAATTGACGGTTACGAAGTAAACACCGCCCTGGCGTTTATTGGGTAGAAGACAAATTGTGTGGGGTCGTCATCAAACTCATAATCCACTGGCCCACGCTATGTCAGCGCCGCGGGGCGCCGCCCGCCGCGCGGCGGCCGCCCCGCCGGCGGCGGGCGCGCCGCCCGTCGTCATTACGGCACAATTCACCCCGACAGCGGAGGAGATAATGCATGGCCTGTGTAATGGCATTTGTTGTAGCAGTTCAAAGCCAGAAATTCCGAATGCCAACCGACCCTGGCCCAGGGTCGGAAAACAACTGCGTAAATGGAAAGCCTGCAAAGAAAATCGCGATCGATGTCGTTTCCACCAACGGCGAAGCGTATGACGTGAAGGCCTGAACAATAAAGCGATCTGATTCAAAGATAGCCCCATTATTATCAACAGAAGTGACAGTTCTTGACTATCCCATAGATAATGACGCCGAGGCGGAACGACTTCGGGTAAGCAAGAACAGGTCTTACGGCAGGGCTGGCAACGAAAACGAGGGATCAAAATAGGTTCATCGGTATTCCGACAGAGGCCTCTGCGATTGGCCTTGCGGGTATAACAGCCATGGTGCCACAGACTATCGAAGCCGCAATGAGGGCAACGCTTTGGACGATAATCCTCGGGTTGTGTTTTTAAATGCTGAACATGTTGCACAAGACTCGTAATACCTGCCAAAATAACCGCCAAGGTCGCTCTCCTGTTTTGTTTTTTTTCGCAGAAATACAATAACAAAGGATGGGCGGCCTTGCTTGGTTATGGATAAGATAAATGGATGTTATCGGCCAAATATATCCCGTGCTACTGTCGGGAAGCTTTTCTAAACGACACTACAGGTTCGCGGGATAGGGTGATAAGGTAGCCCTTGCGTACTGGGGGCCGTTACAGTTAGCCCAGAGGCAAGAAATAAAGGCATAGGACGTAAGCTGATAGGGGTTGCAAGCAAGCAGTCAAGTAATAATAATCTGGAGTTACGGGT